TTTTTCTCCCAGTTCCTGGTGGCCTTTATGACACACATATAAGTTGGTAGAGCAAGTGAAAGAGGAAAACAGGTAAATTAGATAGTGAGAATGAGGTCAAGAAGAGAAAAAAGCTTATTGCTAACACCAGCTATGTCACTGCGCATTTTTAAATATCACCACACTGGTGAAAATCAGTAAAGCAGATAAAGACAGTTTCCAGATGCATCTTATCATCCAAAAGTAGCCAATATTTTCTGAATATATTTTCTTCTGGCCTTTATATGTGCTCACATACATTTATCTTTCCAAAATGTGATTTATACTCTAAATAAGATTCAAAATTCTGCAATTTTAATTATCATTTTAGTATAAACATTTCCTTTTAATTTTCCAAACATGAATTTTAATGAATGCCTGATTTTCATTTGGGAAGTTTATAAAATCCACTCCTAATTTTCTAAAATAATGTTGATAAATTATATTGAGTACAAGCTAGCTATCTGACACTAAGTTAAGTTTGTCAGATATCACCTGCAGTACAGACAACTGAAAAGAAAGAGAAAGTTGAATCTAAACATATAATTCTTGAGTTTTTTCCCCACAGAAATAATTTATTGGTTATCATTTCCTTGATATTAAATAGTGAAGAAGATTTTAGTATGCTACCTAAAGGTCTAAATTAAGGATTGATTGGTTAATATTTCTATGTAACTTTTCCCCGTCTCATTTCATCAATATGGCACTTTAGGCCTTTTCTCTATTGCATCATTATGTGCTGACCTTTCCATTGATAATACTTCTATTCTATGCCTGAGTAGAGAGAATTTTTTTTGCCTCTTTTCAGAGATTAGCTGCAAAGGAAATTTATGTGGCATTCAAAAGAATTATTTCCATCCTAGCCTTTCAAATGCCTTTCTGACATCTAATGATGTAATTGAGCTACTTTAATTTTAGAGGGTTCCTATATTTGCATAATAAAATGTGATTTTAATGTAGTTCAAAAATATGCATTACTTCACAATTAATACAGTATTTTTCTGCAAAAGATACTAAACCATATGCAGTTTTGTTACTCCATTACCATATGCTGTCCATTTCACGATAATCTTGATTACTATAGAACTAAATCTGTGTCAATATAGTAACATTTGCTCTGACCCTTCATCAATATACGCATTGTTTCATTAATGGCCATTAGTTGTTCTTCTGAGCATGTAAGTATCTATAGGTATAAGGTATAAATACTACCAAAAGTATTTTTCATACAGGCTTGCTAACACAATAGCCTAATAGCTTTGGCTCCTTGCTATTTGCTCTGTTACCATATTTCTTTATAATGATGAAGAAAATAATAGCAATTGCATCTGTACATCAAGAGCATTATAACAGTTTATATTAGGAGAAAGGTAAATTTAAAACATCCTGGTTCTTTTGATATAAAATCTTTTTATGAGCCCAGACTAAACCTCAATTCACTTCCAGGCCACTGACATCGCACTTGAGATCCTCCTGTCTCAACTCCCCAGTGCTTGTATCACAGAAGTTGTGTCATGACGCCCAACTACCATCACTCTTCAAGGGTGGTACTTTTTAGAGCCACTAAACGGAAAAGTAGTAAGACTAAAGGTCAAGTAAGATTCCTTCTGAATTTCAGAAAGGAGGTAGTGTTTTCTCTTTCCTCCAGTCATCTTTCCTTCCTTGCATCACAGGAATTACTACATGGTAACACTATAATTTAGGCCCATATTTATAATTTCACTTCTTTCCATTTTCCATATTTATTTATGCTTTTATGGATTCTGTTGTGATTTACAGCTAGACTGCTGACTTGATGATGAAGGCACTATATCTGGCTTGCTGTTACAAGGTGGGCCCTAGATGAAGATGGATTTCTTTGGATGTGACCCAAAAGGGTATGTTTCCCTCTTCACCCCCTTGATTTGTCCTTTGCTTCCTCATTACCATGGTTTGAGCAGCTTTCTCCTGCCAGATGCTTCTACCTTTCTCCCCCTGTCATTTAGCTTGCCAATCAGGGATCAAAACTTCTAAAAACTACCAGCCACTAAGTGCTTGCCTGGCAAGTGCAAGGTCATGAGTTTGATCCCCGGTGGAAAAAAAAAAAAAAAAAGAAAAAAAAAGAAAACTACCAGTCACAATAAACCTGTTCTTTAAATTGTTGGTGTTGGATTTTGTGCCTCACCAATGAGAAAATGGCTAAGACAGATTTTGCTTACAGCTGGTTGCCATAATTATAATACATGTGATCATACAGTTTGGAAGTCTGGTTTGCAGGCGTTTGGAAAGTCTTGGAAATGATTCCTGGAGAAGCCCTAAAATACAGTAAACTGCACTTTCTGGGATTCTTATAAGAGCCTCAAAGACCAGAATATTATTAGAAATGTGCATAGTAAAGGCCAGGCTCAGAAGGCTTTGGGCAAAAACAAATACTGCATTGGCAGATGGACTTAAGACCATGTCAGTCACACTCTGGCAGAAAATTTGTTTATTTTGTCCATGTTCTAATGCTTTGCATAAGTCTGAAATTAAGGGCACTGGCAGAAATTAAACTGGCAGAGGAAATTTCAAGTAATTTGGGTTTTAGAATGACTATTACTTATGCTTTTAGCAATATCTGGAGTGATATTAACAACAGACAGTAGAGTTAAATGATTTTAAATTTTGGACTTTTCGTAGGATGTAAGTGCATCTGAAGTTTGGGGAAGGGAAAGCATAGGTGTTGGAAAGATTGTTATTAAAAAGAAGCCAAGTACTTCCTGGAGGGCATTTCAGGAATCAGCAAGACCCTATACTTCACATGCAAAATTATAGGAGGATGCAAAATTATAATGCTTTCATTTGAGAAGAGAGCTAGTAGATGCCTTCCTGGATAAAAACTATGGCATATATGTCACAATGGGCACACAGAGGCTTCTCTGTTGGCATATGAGCCATGGTTTAAATGCACTGGACCAGGCGTTGAGCATTGAATAACAGTACACATAAGGGGCATAAGTATGCTTGAAAAGGAGTAATGGAGCCAGGCAATAACACTACAAGTAGTTTGAGCACTTGGTCCTTAAAAAGTTCATCTTCACTGGCCTAGGAATTGAGTTACAGGATTTCATTTAACAATGCTCACCCATCCAGGTACCAAGAGGCTGCTGCATCCATGGACCAAAAGGGGCTAGTTACTGCTTTAGTTGGTGGCAGAATGTGGCATCATCCACAAGTTGCTGGTTTTGCAGGCATGCAGATGTAGTTAATTTTGGGGTCGTGGAAGATTCAAACACAATGTCAAGGAAGGCATGGAAGGCTAGTTGACATGCTTCTTAGAAATCGGTGAGTGTATAAAGCTGTGAGAGTGAGGCTGAGGTCACAGTTCAGATCTCAGTAATTTGGGAAAACCAGGAATGTGAAGCATCTGCTGAGAAACACTGTAGAAAGTGAGTAAATCCATCCTCAGAGACAGGCTGGCTGTGGACTGCAACCAGCGAAGCTTTACCTGATGGGCCCCCGAAGCCCTTTAGAGATCACATCTCACCATACCTTCCCCTGTATGGTGGACACAGAAGTACAAGATATAGTGTTTTTCCTGCTTGGTTTGGTTTTAGTTTTGTTATCATTCCATTCCTTTTTGTCCTCCTACTCCTCCCTTTTGGAATATGTTTACCCTGTGCCATTCTGTGTTGGCAGAGTTTAACTTTCATTTTGATTTTGATTTGGGCTCACAGCTAAGAGTTTGACTTAGATCTCGGAGATGACTTTGGACCTGCACATTACTGCAAAGTCAAAACTGTTAAAAAACAATTTTGACTCTTAAGAAATGGATGAAATGTAATTTTTATAAAGAGATGGACATGAGTCTTTGGGAGACCAAGGGTAAAAAGTTTTGGTTTAGATCTAGAATGTTTCGCCACAACCTCTTGTATTCAGAAGTGAGGCTTTTGAAAGTTGATTGGATTATGGAGGTGACCCAGCTGACCTGCTATTGGTAGGTGGGTTGGATGTGGATGCCCAGAGGTATGATCAGAATGGTGTATATATATCCATCCTCTGCTCCTTGACTTTGTTCTATGTTTCACGGATACCATAGGGTGAGCTCCTTTTCTCCATCAGACCCATCATCCAGATTGCTTCCTGCTTTTGAACCTGTAACCAAGGACTGAAACACAAAAGCACTGACCTCTCTTTCCTTAGATTGTAGGTGTTGGTTATTTTGTTCCAGCAGTAAGAAAGTGACTAACACAGACTCCAGCTGACATAATAAATGTATTGTGAGTTGTGAAAGAACGAAATTGACTGATGGAGGCACACTAAAAGGAAATATTATTAATGTACGTTAGTGAAAATCTGCCTGTGCCCCCAAATGACTATGTTCCACGCCTCCATGTCATAATTTACTCCACAAGCTTCAGCCCAAAGCTTCTTTGAGATATTTCCCATTTTAGAAAAAGTTCAGATCCTTTTTCTGCTTTTCTTGAAGAATTGACCTCTAACATATACCCTGAATCAGGTTATTTCTTGCTGTCTTCATCGCTGCAGTTCTAAGCCACCTCACTGTCTTTTCAGTAAGTCTTAGTGCAGTTCTTTTAACAGGTCTCTACACTTCCATCCTTGCTCCTGAGACGATTCTCAACACAGCAGCCAACATTCTTCCATTTAAACGCAAGTCAGATCTAGTCTGGTCCTCTAACAGCTTAGAGCAAAAACCAAAATTCTTATCATAGCCTAGAAACATTTTCATAAGCAGCTTTTGTCTTTCTCTATTTTGTCTCCTACAAGCTGTCCATTGCAGACTTGTCTTGCTCCTGCTCCTTAAATCAACAAAGCATGCATGTCTTTGTGTCTAAACTTACAGTTATCTTTGTGTGCAATGTGCTCCCACAAGTATCTGTGTGACTAGCTCATGCACTTCTTTTAAAGATTGAAAGGTTGAATGAAAAATCTTTTTTTGCTGCACTAGGGTTGAACTCAGAACATTCACATTCTAGGCCCTTAAAAAAAATATTTTATTTTGAGACAGTGTTTCACTTAATTCACTAAATAATTTTTTTAAAAATACACAGCTTTTTTCCCACATGGAAGCTGACATTTTTGATAGAGTAGATAGTAGTAGCCTAAACACAATGATCATATAAATTTAATATTTAAAAATGAATGTAGATATTAAAATATTTGAAGAAGCAAATTAAAGAGAAAAATCTCTGAGAATTCTGTTCTCCACTTAGTAGCAAATACATCATGACGGACTGACACAAATACAAACATTGTTTGTTTTCTTTTCCTTCAGATTCATACAGACTTCTGGTTAGAGCTAGGAATTTTTCTGGAAATCATCTACAACAAATTTCCCATTTTCAAAGTAAAGTGAGATAGAAAATTAAGTGATTTCCCCCCCTAATATTTACTAATTGGAGAATCATTATGAGATGCATTTTTCTACCTTCCAGTCCAGAATGATGGCAACTATCCTAGCCATTTTACATCTTGTACTACACAGTAAGATATTCAGGAGTACAAAGACTGGCCTTGAGACCATAATTATATCTTCAGAGTGGAAACCAAATGAAGATTTCCTTGGATTTCTTTGTAGGATTGAAAAGTAAAAGCTACTACACTGAGTATTTTCTTCATTGCAACATAAATATTTTACAAAATGGCTCCTGGTTCTGCCTCACATACCACAAAAAGAAAAAAAAAATTAAGCTCAAGTAGAAAAGAATGTGAAACTATTGAACCATTGAAGAAATTCACTGTTGTTTCTTTTTCCATATCAATTTTCTTTATGAAATTTAGACAGTTTTAGCAACAGGTCTATTTATTCCTCTGGCATAAAACATCCAAACCTTCAAGTCATCCATCATAAACAACTCCCAAACATATAACAGAATATTTTCATGTACGGCACCCTCATTTATATCACAGGAAGATTTAAAGACAAAAATGAAAACCATTTTTTTCTAAGAAAATGTGTGGTTATTTTTGTTTTCTGCTTCTCCTATTTCTACCGAGTCTCATTGATTTGACACTTCATCTTTAAAAAGGATACTCTAAAGCATATTTATATACATTTTTGATTTTTTAAAAAGTTACAATGTATTTAATCGTACCACAGCCACACCAATTGTAACATCTGTTTTCCTCTTGGAATAGTAAAGTATATGTGCCACCTCTTTTTGCACTGCAAGCAACATATGACAGAAAAATATCAGAAATACAGACCCAAATAATTCATCTCAGAGGTATTAATACAACAAAGCAAACTCGAACATAAATGATCTTATGAAAGATACTTAATTTTAAAAATAGAACACGAATGATTCTGAGTCACTTTCAACACACTGGTTTCCTATGATCTGTACTTTTCTCTTTCTATTTTCTCTCTCAATCTGTTCTGCAGTGTTTTGCAATGAAAGAATACATTGTAGAATGGTTGTTGAAGAAACATGTTTTATACATTTCGTTGTATGATCAACATGCAGATGACAGTGTTAATTTCTATTTCCAGGAGTTTTATTAGTACTGGTTTTCCTAGAAAACTTAAGAGTGGGGTTGTTCCCTGTTATCAACATGTCCATCCACATACCAGGGGAGATTTACGTGGAAAATCAGTAGCAGTTATAGGAGGTGTGTATCTATATACTAGCTTCCTTGTTAAGTTTCTTGACTCCGACCAAACCAACTTGCAATTGATTTTCATTTCTTTAGCAAATTTGTTATATTCCTATTCTATTCTGTCACAAATGCTAAGTTTACTTAGTCTTGCTGTTGCCTTTAGAAATATTTATTTGTAATTAATTTAACTAAAATAGTTACTTTGCACTCAAGAAACACCTAAAATATTGCAGTAAGACCTCAATGTATCAACATGATTGCTTTCCTCATTTTACGCACATAAATAAATACAATATTATAAAGGACATATATCCATATTTATAATATATTGAATCTATACACACAACAATTTGCTGAAATCTTGGGGACTTTCAAAAATAGCATGAGTTATGAAAACCTTCCTAGAGGTCAGAAATCTGGCAAGAGACATAAACCCTCTGAGCCACCTATCAGGAGGACTTTTGTCTGTGGCTGATTACTAAATTAGTATATTTTCATATTCACAAATTTAATCATGAATAGATTCAGTATCTATTGAAGGGAGTGAGAGGGGTCAGCTTCTCTATTTTCCTTTCTTAAAGATTACTAATTTTGAAGGAAATACATAGTGTTTAAATTTACAGAGTGAAGACAGAGGATCAACATTTGGGTAAAGATTCTGTAATACAAACTGAAATCTCCTGTTCCACAAAGAGCTCACAGAATAAGCTTTAGCATCCACGATCTTTGTATCTGATGTTTCCACCTTCCTCCTCTTCTGTTCTTTCTTTGATCCTAGTTTCCTGGGTTTCTTAATGAGACTTTTCCGCTTCTCTTGAATAAGAAAAAAAATGTGCTTGTCTCTTATTTTTCATTTCTAATTTAGCCAGAAAGGTCACAAAGACATTTTAAAATAGTACTTTTTTTTGCAATATTTTAGGGATATTAAAATCTCTTAATTCTCAGAGGTCCCACCAGACTCACCAGGATTTTTATTTGATGACTCTCTGCAAGACAAAATAATTTTCTTTTTTTGGTTTCATTTTTATGCAAGGGAAAAAAGCATCAGAGAGAAAAAATGGGTTCTATATGGTCTAGGTTAACATTCTGCCCATGTTACAAACACTGACACATGATAACTCATTTCAGTTATCAGATTACAATCAGAAAGCTCAAATTCATTCTTTAAAATTAAATTAGATGGTTGTCCACACTTCAACACTTTCTGAAAAGAATCGTACTGTATGTTGTGTACATTTTGATCCATCTTCTCTCATGAAGTTGATTCATTTTTTTATGTGGGATTTTCTCCATTCTAGAAAAATGATTATAGACTTTAGATATTTTTCATGATCTTTTTCCTTAACCAATGAAATCTATTTTGGGGCTCTGATATGTGGATCGGATACTTAATAAGCTTAATCGGAATGAAACTTTTGAACATCTTCCCCAAAAAACTTTAGCTCCTCAAACTTAGTACAAATAGGTTAATTTCTGTCTCCTGTAGTTCACCATCTGAATGGCTTACAAACTCTTGCTCAAGTGTAAGTTTAAAAGAGAAAATACTTGATTGTCATATCTGATATTGTTTTGTTAGTTTTTGCCTTTTTCCTCAATAAGAATTTCTAACTGCCTTCACACTCTGTCTCCTTCTGATGACACAAATGATAAAGTCTTTCAATGGGATAATGCAACTGAGATCATAGTGATACTGTTGTCTACATTTCTTGGCTGACATTGGAGCTGGTTGACGCGTACCAATTACTACATACATCCTCTGTACACACAGATCAAGTAAAAATTAGTGAAAAGAGAAGGACCATTTCTTAAATTTCTTTGTGGTGGACATTATGATCCCTATTTATATGTGGTATCTCATTTGATTTTTTGAAAAACTTCTTTAAGTTTGATAACTGCCATATTCTAAGTGGCACAATGTAAGATCATATTTGTCATTGTGATACCTGTGCTTAGAACCTGAAACCATTATGTCAGGCATATAATTGGGCTGTTAAGAAGTGAGGTTTTTTTGTCTTTCCTCCAAAAATTTGTTTGTTGAAGTCCTAATTTCCAATATTATAGTATTTGCAGGTAACAGCTTTGAAAGGTAACTGAGGTTAGTTCATGAGGATGGCGATCTCATAATGAAATTGCTAAGCTTATAAGAACGAATATCAGGAAAGCTTCTCTGTCTCTCTGTCTCTCTGTCTCTCTCTCTCTCTCTCTCTCTCTGTCTCTCTCTCTCTCTCTCTCTCAGCTAAATGTAGAAAGAAGTTACTGGAGAACACAGCATGAAAGCAGCTACTTACTACACAAGGGAAACACCTTCACCAGAAATAGGCCAGTCTGACACTCTAATCTCAGACTTCCAGCCTCCAAAACTATGAAAAAATAAATTTTGTCATTTACTTAGCCACCAGTCTTTTGTATTTTGTTATTTCAACCCAAGCACATAAAGGTATGGATTTCCTAGGTATTCTATTTGGAAATAAAGTGAGAGACTGGAATTGTATTCCCAAAATGATGGAAGCCAGTAAAAGGTATCTAAAAATGTAAGGAAACTTACTTTATAAAACATTTTAAAATGCATTTGCTGTCAGCCCCAGAAACCTCCAAGGAAGCATCTGGAAAGGTATGAATGCACTGAATAGACTTTTGTCTTCAGCTGTCTGCCAGTTGATGATGACCTAGAAATGAACCGCACTGAATGAAAAAGATCATGTGTAGTCTAGGGCCCACCCAGGGAGAAAGGTCAGAAAATAAACTAAAGGCCAAAGATTTTTTTTAAAAAAAGCCAAGGTCCAAGAAAGCAAATATCTACAGAGGATAAACTTTATACACACACACACACACACACACACACACACACACACTCACTTGCTCACACTCATACAAACAGAGACCATGCTGATAATTACTGTTCTTACCTTGGGTCCAAGTGAAAGAAGGAAAAAATGGTTTTCCCAGAGAACTCTTAAACATAAGCCTATTGACATGCAAGATCCTATTTTTATACAACTCATTTCTCATATAGTCTCTGCTTTTCCCTGTCCAACAAAAACACAAATGGGAATATGGCTCTGAAGAGTTTTGAGTTAAGATTTAATCACCATATGTAGTTTTATCAAGATTCTTCATGTCAACTGTTGGCAAGCTGAAATAAGGGCAGAGAATTTTTCAGTACACCTGGGAGAAGAATGAAAGGGAAAGGTAAAAAGGAGGGAAAATTATGAATTTCAGTGATGTACCAGATCATTTATACTAACTATTTTATTCAATGTTAGCACCTATTGGTGAAATAAGATACCTAATCAATCACAAAGATTAGGCTACTAAAATTCAGAGAGGGTAGGTAACTAGCTAAGGTTCTGTTGTAGTGAGGGGTTGTACATAGAGAACAATTCAGATCAGGACATGGAGTTTATATTTTTATAATGGTCACCGGAAGTTAACATAGGAGAATGCAGAAAATCTATCTGCAACACCAAAGACGTAGATTATTTAGTCAAGAGCCTAAACCCAACAGCAATGTCCCACATGAGTCCAGATAAAAACCCAGAGCTCAGGACAATGCCTCCCACAAGTCCAACTGGAGGTCCAGAGCCCACAAAAAGGACTTAGGCCAGTCTCTTTTATGGATCCATGCCGGGAAGTCCCAAGGGTCAGCAGTGGAAGCCAGAAAGTCTATGCCAGCAGGATGAAGGAGCTGTGCTAGTGGGATGAGGGTTCTACACTGCAGAGAAGTCACACTCACAACAAAGAGCGGGACTGTTCTGAAAGGCACCACAGCTGTCCTCAGCGACACGGAGGCCCCGAGCTCCTCCGACGACAAGCACAATCGGTACATACCAGGAAGCAGGGTGACGAGTTCATCTTGGAGACCAAGCAACACATGTCTTCTCCTCCGGAGCCAGGAAGCAATGCTCGATGTGAAGACCAAAGCTTCTCCAGGAGAACCAACAGCTCAGACAGCAACTTATAGGAGAACCCACAATGCCTCCTTAACGCCTCAGCCCTCTCAACACCTCTCTTCTTCTCCACCTATTTATCTTGGCAACCCTCCTCAGGTGGAGCATCTTCTCTCAATGCATGCTGATGTAATCCAGCTGGCGTTAAGGTGACTACCAGGTCTCAAACCATAACAGGTTAACATGGCACAGGCATGATAGTTACAATAGAAGTTTAGTTCTATAGTCTCCAAAGTCCTTTAATTATTTATAACAAAACTATGTCTCTACATGTAGATAAAGCTTCATGAATTGTTTGTTTTAATATGCATATCACTAAGATCTAAATGGGCTTTTGTTTTTGTCTGTTTTAATACCATACTGTCCTCTGACAAGACTGGGAAAAATTATTTTCTAAAATTCCAGATCCTCGGGAGGTCATTTTGGTGGTTCTGGAAATTGTAAAGCAAATTGCTGTGAACAGGCATTTTAAATTATTTCTTGGCATAAATGTAATAATCAAGTACAATGAATTTAATTGATTTCAGAAGAATGTTCCTTTGCACTGAGGCAGTACCCGTGTTTGGACTCTGTGCCTTGAAATGTGAACTGACACAGTGACTACATCTGTGGGGCTTTACTATCAGAAAAGTCTTCTGTGGGAAACACTACAAGTGCTTAAAGTACAGCGGCACCTTGTTTCAAGAACTTAATTCATTCTCCGATTCTGAAAAAGATGGTTGCAGTGGTGTTCATCAACTGATCCATTGTTTGCAAACAAAAAGTTTTAACAAAGGCATCTGTTTTTAAACCAAGTTCATCAAAATTGAATAAAAGTGTTTATGAACAGAGGTACCACTGTAAGTCGAACTACTTCTTAAAAGAGGCCTTCCAATATATAAAAGTATAATCACTATGATCTCCCTACTAATATCTTACTTTATACTTATTTTAAAGTTCTTAGAGTTTGATTATCTTAGTAAAGAAGTGATTAAGACCACAGAGGTGATCATTACTCTCACCTTTGTACTAGCTGATCATGTGAGTTTGACCAAGTTCAACCATTTTGTCTCAATGTTAATGGGTAAAACCTTTAGCAATAACTCACCAATTAAGAGCATTCCTGGTCTTTCTTGGCATGAATGAGGAACTGGATGAGGCAAGCCAAAAACAGTATCAAAAGTTTATTTGAAAATTGCAGAGTAGAAATGATCCTTGCAGTGATGCCATGCACCGTCTGCTCTGGGGAGAACCAGATGACAGTCTTTTCCCATGAGTCAGCATCATTCACAGACTGTGGAGGCAGAGAACAAGACAACAGCAAGCAAGAGGAAGAGAACAAGAAGTCAACAGGAAGCCAGCTCTCCTTGTAAGACAGCACCATGTGTGGCCTGCTAAGGCAAGGACTAGAAACCAACCCCTGCCAGCATGCAGACTGGGAGATAAGAAGAGCTAACCTCACCCCCATCAACCTCCCTGCCACCAGCTGATTTGGAGAAACATGGCTGCGACCATGGCTCTTGAACTAGAATACAATTTAATGCTTGTAGTGTTTAGTGTTTTCACTGACTTTGCCAGTGTGAAGTGGGTGGTCTGATAATTGATTCGGAGGATAACAGCACACCATGTAGCATCTATGCGGGATCTCCTTCTGAAGGAGGTGGCCATTGTTAATTCTCCATTATCTTGTTTTGAAGCGCGATATCATTTTCATTATTTCATTGGGTTGGATTTTATTCTGTTTTGTCTCATTTGATTTTATGATATCCAATGGCATGGGCAAGTATTTCAAAGACAAGAAGATATACTATGGTAGCTATTTTAGATCTACTATTATCTTGTTTTGAAGTCTTTTATTGCACTCATTGTTTTGTTTTTAGTGGTTCTATTCTTTTGTGTTTTGTTTGACTTTTACTATATCTGATGGTATAGGCAGCTATTTTGAAGACAATAATAGGCATTATGGTAAGCATTGTTGATTTCCTATTATCATATTTTGAAGTCCTGTATCATACTGTTTTACTTTGATTGACTTTATTCTGTTTTATTTTGCTTAGTTTTATTCTCTTTAAAAAAAAAGAAAAGTGCAAAGTAAGTGAATATGCAACAAATCATCTCTGCAGGGCAAATTTAGGAGGAACAATGCAAAAAGCAGTGTAAAAGCAAAAGTACACACCCTGTCTGAGAAATGAAATGTGGACTATTATTGAAACTCATGAGACAGAGCTTTCATTCATGGCTAGTCTTCTCTTATTCAGTCCACAGATCATGTGAGCTTGAGGGAAGCTCTGCATATAGGGTCTAGGTATTACCCTGGGATCTTGTAATTCACAAATTCTGCTTATTTCCCCAGCCAGCTTTGCCACACTTTATCTCTTACCTCATCAATTCCTTCCTTTCTAAAATGAGGGAAATGACAATAATTCTGTCTCTAAGTACATCACCAGGAGCATAGCACGTGCTGAGGAGTATTAGCTAACATGTTATTAATGGTAGCAAAAATAACTTTCTGCCCTTCTTTGGTGTGATGATAACAGCAGACGTTATCTGTGGGTCTGATACAATTACAGGATCATTCTATCTTCAATGCATGAAGATAATTTATTTTAGACTTGCAGAAAATGTGAGATATTGTAAAAACTGAAGAATATAAAAAAGACGAATACAGGAAGAGATAGGCTGCCAATCAGAAGTGTATATCTACACAAAGAACAGAGAGGCTACTAGATCCACATGTCTTTGATGTCACTTGTTCATCCCATGTTTCAGGATACAAGGACTGAGGCCTGACCTCTTATATTAGTTTGCTATAATTCACATGCCAAACTTTGTTGCTTAAAAACAGAGATGCACTAACTTGAAGTTCTCAAGGCTGAAAACCTCACATCAGGGCATTTGTGACTTCTTTCCCTCAAAGGGCTGTGAGGTAGGCTGTGCTCTAGACTTCCCACCTCAGAGGTCCATGTCTTTGTCCTCATGTGCTATTCTCCCTCTAGCTTCTGCAGATGTCCAAGTTCCTCCTTTTTATACAAGGACGTTGCCGTATTAAGGCTGACTCCAATCACCTCATCATAATTTGAACTCATTTTACCTCTATGAAGACTGAATTTCCAAAGATCATATTCTGGAGCTCTGTAGATTAGGACATTGACACATTCATCCGAGGGGGATAAAATCAATGCTGTGTTCTCTGGCACCCAAATTTATGTCCTCATTTGCAGAATATGATCATCACATCCCAACATCCCTCCAAACATTAACTTCTTCCAGCATTGTCTCCAGTCCCAAATCCCAAACAGGTATGGATAATGCTGGAAGTATGATTCACCATGAGGCAAAATTCGACTGCACCTGTGAACCTGTGAGAACAGGTAACAAATTCTCTGGCTAGGAGTCGAAGAGCATATGTATAAAGATTTAGAGTGCAAACACTGACTCATAAGGACATAAGTCCTGTGTTCTGATTACATGTTAAGATTCAGAAAATAGTATAGATATCCTGCTGTCACCTTCCACCAGTGTTTAATGCAAAAATTGAAAATGGGGGGAAAGGAGGAATATAGGAAACTATATTATGATAAGCCTGATATGTGTATCCAGAAACATCAGCTCCAATCAAAGCCTAGATAACAAAATTATGAAGAGTTACAAGTGCAAGGTATATTTTTTTGCATTGAAGATAGAATGATCCTGTAATTGAAAAGTACCTAAAGACTGAAAACTTAACTCACAGCCTTTCTTTCTAAGCAGTACAATTTCTTACAAAAGCACCAAAACTACCTAATATACAATTTTGCCCACATAATCTCCCTGAAAGCATTTATGTAATCAAAAGCAACCGCTGGGAATGGAATCTGGACTCTGAAAGTGAAACTCAAGAAAGATTTCATCACTACACAAACAATTTCAAATTAAGCACTAATCAGAGGGGAAAATTAGGTTTATTCACAGGGGCCACTCAAAATAACCCTCTTAATAATGTAGAAATTGGCTGTAGCAAAATCCCCACAAGTCTAGACATAAATACATTTAAAATACAGCAAAGTCAGTCAATATAAAATGTAGCAAATACAAGAAGTCAATGTAAAATAGATTTCCCAGATATGAGGAACATGATTCCAGGATTGTAAGCAAACGGCTCAGGAAAAAAAAGTCTATGATTTAGCAAAACTATAGGCTTCTTAAGAAGCATTTCATTTTCCTAATATCCTAGTTTTAAATTATTTTATAGTTCTCTTTCACTATTCAGCACAAATGTTGATCAAAACCAAGGTGATCACTAGGCTGAGGTCACATTTATCACGTTCAAAACAAAAAGAGGAAACGTATGGGCCGAAGGACATAAAATGGTAGCCAGTCTACATTACCAAGGCATTCATCTCATTTGAAGTATACTGAAATATTCTCAGAGTTACATAAAATTAACTGATCCCCAACCCTCACAACTACTCCAAGTCCTAAGATACTAGCACTTTGCAGCTAGCACTGTTTTCTGGCGAAGGAGCTTGTCTTCAGCAGAGTGCATAAGCAGAAGCAGAGCTGTGAGTAAGGTCACTTTTGGTAAAATTCTTCACATGGATATTCAGACTTTATCCGTTTCCTACTCATCTTCCTTCTCCTTCCTCACTACCATTTTTTCCACTCTTCCTTTTGCTTTTCCTCAGCCTCCTCTGGCACAAGACTATTGTGCCAACATTGTTTACTCCTGCAGATGTCCAAAGAGTTTGCTGACCTCTCTCTGCTCATAAAATTTTCAAATATATCTGCTCTCCTGCCTTGAAAATGAGACCACTCTGAACCTCCAGTCACACTGCCATGTACTGCATCTCTAGCTAGAGAGTACTTGGTGCATTGGCAACCAAAAAGGAACATTTTTTTTCTGTCTTCAGAAAAAAAAAAAAAAAAAAAACATGAAGTGCTCTCTTTCTCTAAACTTGAGGGGAACAGTTTGTAAAAGATCTGAGCCAAACTTTGTAATTGGGACAAATTTTTCTTGGTGATAAACGTTTTTTTAATAAAAGAAGAGACTGCTACACAAAAGGACATGATCTATTA